CTCGGATAATCATTCGAGCACTAATCAACCTGAATCTAGAGGTGTTTTTAAATGACTTCGCTTTTCCTGCCTCTGCACAGAGTTTGTCCAGTGGGGAGCTTAAACGAAAGGGGCATTGCATAAGTTCCTTCAGGACAGACCGCTCACCAGGTGGGAAGTTTCGTCGAGGTGGTTTTCTGATTCTCCTCCCGCGGGAGCTCATATAAGGCGAACTGCCAGCAGATTTTAACGGTGATTCTAATAAAAACAATAAAATAAAAAATGAAAACACTTCTTTGTTAAGCCATCACAATCATTTGTGTTCTTTCCATTGAATTTAACTCTTGATTTTAAACATGTATGTATGTATTTATTTATATAACCTATCGTTTCTTAAAAACCTTAATAATGGATGAAATAATATATCAAGATATCAAATGCCATCAAATAAAAAGCTACTAGCATAATGTGGATCCTTTCAAACTTTAAACATGCTAGCATAAATCATAATTAAATAACTGAAAAGACTTTCTATGAATATGTATTTACTCAGTGTGTAGTCGGCATCAGCGGTGTCATCCTGGAAGGCGGGTGCGTCTAATGCACCACTTTCTTCCTTGTTCTTGATAGACGTCTTCTTTTGAGTCAGAAGGTGGGACGTTTTTGGTGGTCGTCCGCGGCCTGTGTGGGTTCTAGTGGGTTTCGGCTGAGAAACAGGCTTCTGTGTTTCGGCAGAAAGCTCTTCCTCTAAAATGTCCTGACTATGAATGGTCTCTTTATCCTCTGTGGGAATGCTACGAGGGCACTCCTCGGCTTGTGATGCCAAATCTGACAGCTGACTGTCAGTTTCCTCTTTCTGCTCTCCTTCACCTGTTTTTTCATCTGGTGTGTTAAAGACAGAATTAAAATCAAATCAAATCGAAATTATCAGGAGCAACATTTCACACATTAGAATGCAGAATCAATGACGATTGTGTTCCATTTTCAACAAACTGAATGCCAATAAGAACAGATAAAGACAACAACAATCGGGTAAATATGTATTAATTACTTTTCATTTATCTTTTTTAATGTAGAACAGCATCTGTTAGGACTACTGCCAAACATGGACCCAGCAGAAATACATGTTTGTCACCATGCTATGAAAAGTGATGGTAAAATTGGTTGACAAATTTAATACAAAGCAACCTGATGATTCATTTGAAGAATCAAGGCATGGACGGATTAGCTGAGGGCAATGAGAATTTATCTGAAACAAAGAAAAAAAGGGTACAGACATGAGTATTCACCGAGGACCCGACTCACCAACAGCAAAATCCAGTGTTATGACAGACGGGGCCGGATTTGACAACGACTGGTACGCAGAACACGCATTCACGATTTCTTGCATCTGTAAAAAGTGAGCTACCGACAGCACGTCTTCTACATTCTGCAGATTTAAAGTCAGCTTTGCAGTGTACATAAAATCCAGGACCTGACCCAAGCCTGAAACGACATTCATCAAAACAACACATCCAGTTAGACAGCAGAGACGAGGCAGAGATAGGGTAGAGCACATAACCTGACGGGGACCGACCTGCTGCATTGCTAATGTCCAGATGTACCACATCCTTCTGCTCCAGGAAGAGGGTGCGGAAGTACACGCTGCAGGCAGCCAGCACCGCCTTGTGGGCCTTGAAGTCCACACCGTCCACGACAAAGGTGCAGTCACACAGCAGGCCCTGCTTGCGCTGCCGGTTAAGCTGCTCCAGAACTTTCCCACTGTGCCACGGGAACTCCATCGTCCTGAAGGACAAGCTCTGTGGATAAAACGGATGAAATGTGGAGCATGAGGAAGCTTGAAAAGGCTGTGATGGTCAGGTTAAATCTGTGTCTGCATTGTTCACCTCTGATATAATTATGCATCCTCCGACAGCATAGTAGTTTTATTATTGACTGACTGCGGTCAGACAATATTAGGGGATGATTGCTTTCAGAAAAACAGATGTATCAGCCTTAAAACTAAACCTATACATTACAAATTAATATAAGTCACCAGAAATAAGATTATAATGAGTTATAATGAAGTATAAATTCTGTATCTAGACTATATGTCACATTACACCATTACATTATTTATTATCCTTATTTAAAACTGGAAAGTTGTGTTCATTTTAATTTCACAATTACCCCTTTTACAATGTATCGGCACAGAGATGTATTAAAGTTAGCGTCCAACAAGCTAAATCAGCTTTTAAACTGTCTGTACCTGTTGTTTCACAAGCAGTTTTAATAACAGCAATTGTATTCCTCACACTAATTTGTGTCTTCTTTGGACTATAACCACGGCTATCATAGTTAACTAAAACTAAACAAAAACTAGCTTTGAAAAATATTCTAGTTAGATAAATAAAAATAAAACCTAAACCATGAAAAAGGGTAAACTAACTAAAACTATTTTTGGAATTTGGAAAATAACAGAGGAAACATAAATAAATATGGTATGTGTTAATCTGTTAGAATTTTGGCACAAACTGGCTGATGAGGTAAAATTTTGGCTCTGGCATTTGGCATAAGTAATAACCAATACCAAAATGAAAACTGAAACCAATAAAAACTAAACTAATATAATAAAATAAAATCTAAACTAAATTATTATTAATAATAACAATAATAAAACTATAATAATTATAGCAACGCTGCCACTGGTAAAGTCTAAGTACGTTGTTTCAGTTGTTATGTTAGATAATGACATCTCCTCCAGACTCACAATTGTCCCATGGGACGCAACCTATGAACCAAACTTCACAAACATGTTGCGTGTGTGTGTTTTTAAGGACAAAAACGGCGTTTTGAAAATCAACCACTCAAAACGACTGCTAGCTTAAATCCGAAATGCAATGCGAAAGATGCTAAAGGCCAACTAAACCGGGAGATACGACATTAACGCAAGGATGAAGCGTAATCTCGTGTCCCGCTGGCTGTGCAGCTATTTTTAATTCTCTCTTTTTTTAAAACTTGAACGTCAGTTCCTCCACAAGTTTTGACAGCGTGGTTTGACGGTGCAATATATCGATTGCAATTCCTCAATCCTTGCAGCTTTGTTATCAGGGATTAATTTAGCATGCCTACATGCGTGTGGTGAGGGAACAAGATGGCGGAGCGGCGAGTCCGGCCTCCCCTCTTGTTGTTTTCACAGCCAGCCTGTTCTTTTCGGTTTTTTAAGAAGCGCCATTTTAACAGAAACCAACTTCCGATTTACCTCCTTGTTATCTCGTCTTCAATCGGGCTTGAAACTGCTGGTCCAAGCGGTCTTACGGAGTTTTTGGCTCAGTTGGGAAAAACGAACCCAATCGAGTTTTTCGGTGATCGATCATACCCCGCTCACTCCATCCAACGCCATCTTCCTCTCTCTGATCGATTGATAGGGACCGGCCGGATGTATCGCTGGAGCACGCGCAGTGGGTACCAATGTTTTGCCGACAGCGGCCACGCGGTGTCGCGATACACCCAAGTTACATAATGTGCAAAGCCGATACCTTCATAACACCGTGGAGCTAAAAGGGATTGGAAATAGAGTAGTTTGTCATTACAGCCACGTGTAGTGTGTAAATAAACGCTCTAAGTCTAACTTAATAATCACAAATCTTCAAATTTGAAGAACTGAATCCCTGCGTGCTAAAGTGAGCTATATCTTTAGGCTTATACAATCAGAAGAGGTCCTTGTCTTAAATCATCGGAAAACTGAAGGAACAAAGAGAAATTAATTTTCTGCGATACGAAAAGTATATTAATACAAGGATAAAAGTAATGCTCCTGTATGTTTCTAACGAAAAAGCCACTGCATAGCTCACGTACAGTGGAGGAAATTATAAACAACAATGACTTCCAAATTATATTGGAGAATACCTCCCTTGAAACCCTGTTCTCCTGAAAGGAGGACACGATGGTTCATAATGCTCCCACACACAAAAGACTGAATAGAAGCACCTTTGTATATACACCTCTGTGCACCCACTGAATGCCAAGTCCGTTTCATATTGATTTCAAAGGTAGTTTGCCTTGTGGTGCTCAAGGTTTACGCAGATTTTTATTCCAAGGATGGTGAACAAAACAGTGGTTTAAGGCAAGTCATACCAAGGATGGTGATAAGTCTCCACAGAAAATTTCTCCAGTTCTCTCAAAACTGAAACAATACGAATAAATAAACAAATAAATATCTTAAACTGCCAATTCGTATTTCCTGTCAATAATTTGTAAAATCAGAAGTTCATAAAAAGCATTCTACAGAGCAGGAGGGCTTATTGTCAAAGCAGTATCATTTTATTCACACAAATAATATTATACAATAACTTATCATCTTTAGAAGCGACTGGTAAGTTTTAGAATAACACTGGGAGGGGTAGGGGAGAAGTTAACTGATGGGTTGTGTGTCTACATCTTTGTGCAAAATGGTGCTCCAAGCCCTTGTGTCTCCTTAAATGAATGTGTATGTCCCGTTGTGTATGTGCGGGATGAGCTAACTCACACACATAAATGAGCAGCAACAGTGGCATTGTGTCACACAGAGCACAGTGTCAGCTCTCTGAGTGTTTGAAGTAAAACTGAATGATGACAGTGAGGATAAGAAGCACAGGAAATGGTATGAAATCACAGGAAGTGACGGATCGGACCGTCTCTAGATTTTGATCTCGGTGCGGAAGGTCTGTACGAGCTCATGCTTGGCTGGATTTCGCCGTGCCCGGACCGTGAGGGTCCCCTCGGTGCCCAATGATGATGTCACTGAGGTGGGATCCACGTCCTCGGGTAGCTGGCACTTGTGGGTGAAAGTGTTCATCACTGAACCGTCCTGGGCCAACTGCCAAAACAAGAAAGCGTTAGCGATTCACGCAATGTATTGTGGAGATGGATGCTTGGTTAGGGTTTATTTGGCTCACATTAACCCCTTTTGTTTCAACACCTCCCACGCCCCTACCCACCTTTTCCGCACGGACTTCTATCTGGTTGTTGGATGTGGTGACGATGATGTCTTCAGGGGAGAAATCTCGCACGTCAACTGTGAACTGGTACGAATCGTCAAGAGTCTTGATATTTCCAGCTCCACCTAAACCCACGGCCAAGATGATGAAAGGATGTTAGAGCACAAATGTTGAATCAGGGAGCTACAATTAACTGTGCGAAGTACGTATATCTCGCACAGTTAACGTTCACAGATTTTCATCTTCAATACTTCCTGTGTGAATACACCCACCAGTCTGAGAACCGTGTGCTGTTCATCACTGGAGTACCTGCAGGTGGTGCTTCATTAAGGATGGGCTACACATACTCATTTGAGTGAGGGATCTGCAGTTGTGTGTATTCACCAAAATCCATTTTTAGACATGATCAGAATCTCTGCTTTTGCTTCAACAGCATGACACACCTTCTATTCCACACATTCTGGGCAAACATGGATTTTATTTAATGGACTCAATCCATTAAATTGACATCCACAAAAGATGAACAAGCACCTTAATTATTACAGTTCAGAGTATCATCTGTTTTCCATGGTTAAATGAAACTGCTAGACGCTGTGCTGCATGCTTACCAAACTGAGCATGCCCTCTTCTGATCTTGAAAGCTAAGCAGGGTTGGGCCTGGTTAGTACTTGGATGGGAGACTGGAATACCAAGTGTTATAAGCTTGGATTGGCTGTAGGTTTGTGGTCCAACCCTTGGGCAACATACTATAACCTCAAGTTGTCTGTTAGATAGAAAGCACTTAGACAAAAGTGCTTTTGTGAATGACGGGTGTTGTGTGAAGTGCTTTGAGGAGGCGAATAGAAATCTGTTACGCTCCCGTGTTGAATGCTTCTTTTGTAATTCCAAAACTTTTTTTTAAGCTCTTGTTGTTCATATTCATATACAAGCTCAAAAATATGATGAGTAATAATGGTGATTAGTTGACGAGGTGTAAAAATTAACTGTGTTTTGAAATTTGGCTCACATTATGGGCAGTCAGCAGACATGAAGAAACAGATCATTAATCTGTCCACATTCATCCATATTCTATATTCACTTCCATTTTTGCTCTGTTTGGGTCTGCACCACCTCTTTGAAGAACATATGTGACTTTTAAGCTGCTGAGTTAATGACTTTCTCTCCTCGATGTTCAATAAGCAGCGTGACGAGTTAACCAGAAGTTGATTTTTGTTTTTTTGTTTCCAGCTGATTAAAGTTTTCTGAGAGCAGTTTGGAGGCAAGAAAACCGACAGCCGACATATGGTTTGTGGCTTTGTCACTCCTGTGAATCTTCCACATGAGATAATCATTCAATCCGTGCCCGGTGTGACTTTAAGAACTGTCAAGAGGCACAGCTGTAGTCCCGGTTAAATATCCTAGGACTGATAGGTGAGTCGGTCCAGGAAAAAAGTGTGATTTATTCTCCGTCCCTGTGGAGTCTGAGCTCACTGAAAGCCTGCGTGGTGCATGACCTCACACACACGGCAGCAGACTGGAAACGAGTGTGTGTGAGTGATATTAGCTCTGACTTCACGTGTAGGTTAGCTTAATTATGTGACCTCACTTCACTGTGGTGTGTGCGTGCGCACTGGTCACTGGGCAACCATCTGGTCATTTCTCATGCAGGCGTCATCCCAGATACTCAGTGTGTGATGTCACACTGTTGGCAGTTAGTCCAGCATTCCCAGGCTTGCACGTACTCCGTGTGTGCTTGCATGTGTGTGTGTGATTGCTTTGCTTTCTTCTCAGCAGCGTCCACCTCACATCTTATCTGCTGCACCTATTACAGCACCAACCATGGCTCCAAAACAATGCTGCTCTGCCCCTGACACATAGGAGCACATGGACCATTTAAAGATCAGATTTCAGACATTCACGCGTCTGCGTGGACCAGCAGCAAAGTGATACGGAGCACTTCACACCAAGTGGACACTGAGATATTGAGCCTGTAGATGAACCAGGCTGTGTGAGGAAAAAAATCTCCTCAACCCTCCGTTTTAAACACATATGTAAATTCCTAATAAATCTTTTAAAAAAAGAGTAAATACACATCCAAAAATGGAGTCTGTTCTGTTTATTCTTTCAGCACCTTGGCTACAGTTTCCCATAAAGAAACATCTGTCCACACACAGATCAGCCACACCATAGTCTTCCTCTGAAGATATGTTATCACTCCTCAAACAAAAACACACCACTGTACACAAATCGCCTTCAAGCGGGCATAAATCATCTTTGCCGTCAAAGCTGTTCCTTCCGCTCTCTTTTACTATTAATTTTTTACCCCTTTTGTTTACAAAACGAATGCCAGAGACCTTAAATTTGCTTCCAACTTACTGGAAAAACCCAAGGAGTCGCTCCCAGGCCTCATGAATGAGCCAAAGTCCTCAGCAAATAGTCCCCGGCTCTTCTCCATGTATGGGTTACCAGAGGACGTAGTTGAGGATGAAGTCTGGTGGAAACTACGCTCCGATCGATAGGCAGAGGAGTTGGTTACACTCATGGATGGCTGTAAGTGCTGGGTAAGGCAGAGGAGGAGTGAAAAGGAGAGAAGAGGGAGGCGGAGAGAGTTGATTCTTCTTGTGGCTATAGTTGCACACACAGCTCTTCTATCTACCTTTACTGTCTTTCGTTTTCTGTCTATTTATTCTTTTTGCCTGGTTTGTGTAAGGCAGTATCAACCTTTTCCCCCAATCTCTTGCAGCCCTTTACCCACGGCCCTTATATACTATACGGCCCCATGCAGTGGTTGGGAGGTGGCACGTGTCACACAGGCCACAGCTCATTGGGAACATTGTTCTAAATTTATCATGAGACTCAGAGAGCTGATGGAGAGATGGGTCTGTGGTTGGAAAAGTTCTGGGCACTGAAGGGCCTAAGGTTAAGAGAGGGAGGCAGAGTGGGATTTGATAGAGAGAGGCAGAAAAAGAGCAGGAGCTGACAGGGGATAAAGGGGAGGGGGGCAACAGTTGTCACTCCATCACACGTCATCCCTGAAATAGCTTTCCGACCCTCGCTTTAATTCCCCCTGCTCTCCATCACTCCCATCTGTCTATTTCTTCTGCTTTCATAATATTCAGGGCCACGTCTTTTGGCCTGAAATGAGATCCGCACGCGTTTCTGCTGTTTAATGCCAGCGTATGGAGTAGCGCGGCATGGTTTCATCTCATTATAGAGATGTTTGTGCTCTCACAAGGGCCCGTTCTCGACTGAAATCCTTCACGGTGTCATGAGTTTATTTAATTCAGTCTCCTAATCATGTGCCAGAAAACGCAGCTGCTGTCTTGTGTTGTGCTGAGAGAAGCACGCAAAGTCAATCTAAAAGTGAAAAAAGCGCCTCACCTCTATTTTCAGAGTGTAGGTTAGGAGAAAAGCAAAGATGGAAAGAATGTGCCTGAAAACAAAGCCACGGATGGGGGCAGGGGCCTCGGTAG